CACGACATGATAACGTAATACTGCCGTTCGTTAATTCAAATTCAATTGAACAATTTTAGTACTTCGTTCATTCAAATTTTCCAATTTTTCGAATGATTCCCTATGAGAAAAAAAATGTAATGACTATAGTATGATTCAATTATGGAACTTTCAAATTTGCTTAGATTTTAAAGTTAAATGAAGATGATTATAGGAATTTAGATTTAGGATATGGGGGTAAAATCCAAGGTTATTGATTGGTGTGCGTGCGTGTTTGTACTTGTATGTGTGTGTGTGTTGTTGTTGTTGTTTTTTTTTTTAATTCGACGATAAGTATACATGTATGTTTGGCTGCAGATAGTTTTTTCTATACATTTGCTCACGGGGGAAATAGATTATGTGGAAGTTTCTTTAGAGTTTATGGATGTAAGGTTATGGATACAATTGCACATAAAATAACATGGCAGTGAAATTATCTTTCATGACATTAAATGTTAGAGGAATAAGAGAAGGTTAAAAAGATTGAATATTTTTGAATGGTCCAAAAGTAAAAAGAATGGTATACTTTTCTTACAAGAAACATATAGTACAGTAGAGATAGAAGAGCGGTGGAAACAAGATAGGGGAGGACCAATGTTTTTTAGTCATGGGTCAAACCATAGTAGAGGGGTTCTCATTTTATTTCCTTATCATTTAGATTTTGAAGAAGAAACAAATTAAATAGATGAAGAGGGGAGAAACATTATTTTTAAAGGTGAAATACAAAGGGATAGAGCAACGTCGATCTGGCGCTGCTCAGTGGCTGTCGGGTTCACGATCAATTGGGCATAAAGAAATTCCGTTTCGGTTTAAGAACATTTGGAGTGGACTTTAAAAGTAGGGTGATCACACTGCCTGTTCAAACAGTCTGCCCCGCGAACGCACACGCACAACAGCAGTCAGTTGGTAGAAATAGCAATTTTTGTAAATATATTTTAAAAAAAACTAAACAATATTTTTAAATTTTTTATTTCACATATATTTCAAGCATACCTAGTTTCATTGTCATAGGCATGGGGGAAATATGTTAATTATTTAATTAGAATATTGTCTTTTCAGCCATGTGTGACATGGCCCGCTGATCGCCCATTGACTCGCGCTGCTATTCTGCGTGGTGAAAATGCACCTCAATGTATAAAACTCCTACAAAAATGCAATATCATCGTGTGTTTCACAAATTAAATTATTTACACTAAGGTAGCCACAACTGTACTAGGGTCACCAAAGTTTTTGCTACTCTGAAATTCAGTCCCTGTGGAATGTTATGGCCTGTTGAATGGTTTCTCGGAAAATCGTCATAAATCCTCAAATCTGACATCTTTTAAATAGGCAAATATACTGTGATGTAGCTAAAAGTCTAAATAATTTGTGAAACACATGAGGAAATAGCTGTGACGGTGATCCAAGTAATTTCCATCGCCATATTTTATTGGGATTGCAAAAATGTTTGGAATTTAAGGTTAATATTTGGTGTAAATATGATCTATGAGTATATGATTTTAAAAAATGCCCCAAAATGAACAGTTTGACTTTCCTAATTTGCATGATGAGTGCGCGAATACATAATTAGCTGAAATGACCTAATTTGCATATTTGATGAATATTCATGATTTTTTAATTTTATTTCAAATGAAATATATTTCCATACCTGTCTGATATACATAGGTTTCACTGATGTATCATGTTCGGTTTTGATTTGATTACATATGCGCAGTTATTTTCACAACTTTGTTTATATCTGCAGATTCGCAAAATGGCAAAAATTACTTATTTTGTTGGCTTCTGTTTTCAAAACGGTAATAGATATATGAATTTTCTTTTTTGTATTTTTTACCACGAAGATGATATTTTAGTATCTGATAATTTAATTTATTATTTGTGTCCAAGAAAGTTTTGAATTAAATTGTCAACGTTGGCGAATTATGCCATTTTTGCCAATTTGACCATTTCTGGCAAGTTTTTCGGTAATTTTGCGATATCAAAAAAATGGTATGAAATCACAACGCATTGACCGATTTCAATTCTGTTTTTTGTTTTTCGAAGATTTCATAAAGCTTGATCATTTGCAACCATGAAATAACATATGTTTGTTGTAATTATTTTTGGTGTGCTATACCTATTAACAGATTATTATTATTATTACAATTAAAGAAACTTTACAAATTGAATTTTGGAAGAAGTTAGACGAAAGTATTTTTGATCAGTGTGATCGGGGACTATTTAGTTTTATTATTAGGTGATTTCAATAGTATATTGGATGGAAAATTAGATTATGTGGGGTCAAAAACACCTTTGAAATCTCGGGTTATTAATTTGATTAAGGAATTTCTAAATAAATACGATTTAGAAGACTATGGAGAAAAAGAAATCTGAATGTAAAGCAATTTACTTTTCGACAAAAGTGGCCGGTTGTGCAAAGCCGTTTAGATTATTGGTTTGGAATATTATTGTTTTTATAATTCTATCACTTTCTCTTTCTGTCTTTCCTTTCTGATTTACGCGGCGATATAGCAGGATGACATCATTTTAACGACAGGGTACGAGTTTTCTGACAAACCTAAAATCGTGGATGAATGCGTTGAGCCACATGGAAGAAGAAAAAAAAACACTGATAATAAGCACTGGAAACTTTAATAGTGGTAAATTTGCGCTAAATGATTTATTGCTTTGGCATATCAATAAAGAAAAATATAAAATACATTTTTGGTAATTTTCAACAATAAAAGGAAGCATAATTCTAGAAAATAAAAGAAGATTGTTTAAAAGGATACCTATAAAATACATTTTATATTTGATGAAGAATCACAAGAGTTGATTTCCCATATCAAAGCAAAGATACAATGTACTAGTAAGATGCCTTTAAAGATAGAGTTGAGTTCTGGTCATCGATTGCATGTTCATTTCAACAAATACAGAAGATTTTGTCAGATCCATCGACTCAACTGCGATTCAATTAGGATGAATAGAAAGTTCTTTGAAAAGGAATTCGTAACAATGTAATATCATCCTTTTTGCTAGGTTCATGATGGTCCCATGTATAGTAAAATTTAAATCATTTTGGACATTCCAATACCTCACAGCATACACATATTGTTATATACATTTACGCCATAATCAACGTTTCCTGATCGCTTTTACTTCGTTTCAAAACATTCTGGCACGAACAGAATTCAATTTTATCTTTAACCCATAGCTGTTTCGAGTCTCCTTTGAGTGATGTTTTTGCTAAATATCTTTTGATCAAGAATTCTAGAAATTACACATTATACATGAGTAGATATAGGAAACAAATCTAGCCACAAAATTAATTGCAAAAAAAAGGGGTAGATACATGTATAGCGGAAAATTTTCAGTCTATTTCTAGTGCAGTGTATTGTGCCATTCACTAACTGGAATTATTTACTTGTACATAATCATATGTAATCATTAGACTCTAAATTGGTAAAGATGTGAATTGCTGGTGACAGACATTCTTGTAGCAAACTTCAGAAGCCTCTGGGAAGCATTAAATGCCATTTTGAATGTGAGCAGATATAGCAAAAATACACAAGACAGTTTTCAATCCATTTCTAATGCAGTGCATTGTGCCATTCACTAACATTAATTATTTACATGTACTTGTACGGAATGATTAGTCTCTAAATTGGTAAAGTTGTGAATTTCTAAGTGACAAACATTATTGTAGTAAGCTTCATAAGCCTCTGGGAAGTATAAAAATCTGTACTGTAATTTCATTTCGTACAAAACTTTGACGAAGCTATACCACTAGCAAGAATGGTTCTACATCCCGATTCTGATTTAATTTCCAAAATAACTTTGTGTTAGAGGTAACACAATTAGGGAAACAGCTGCATAGATTTTAATACAATATGAAATCTTCATATTGGAATAATCGACATCATACACACAAAAATTCACCTCGCATGCTTTCAAGGGTGATCCAGTAATTGCTTCTGCAACATTTTCTCCAATGTTTATTTCTTCAAACATATAAGCATTATAAATTATATCAAACATATAAGCACTCCTGACGACGGATAGTCAACCTGTTCGAAACGTTGAGCCACTCTCGCCACTCATCCTCTCCAAGCGCTATAGAGTGGTGAAGTGTGACGTCATCAACAATCTATTTTTAGAATTTCTCAATTTTTTCTTCATATTCCAAAAGAACATCAAAAATAATGTCCAAATGTCGAAAAACCAATTGAATATGTTGAGTATTGGCTGAGATATGACCATCTGAATGAATATATGTCCTATGGGAACTCAGTGTTATATGCTCTGGCTCCTAACCATTAGGAGCCAGAGCATATAACACTGAGTTCCTATGGGCAGTATATTTATTCAGATGGTCATATCTCAGCCAATACTTAACATATTCAATTGGTTTTTCGACATTTGGACATTATTTTCGATGTTCTTTCGGAATATGAAGACAAAATTGAGAAATTCTAAAAATAGATTTTTATGACGTCACAGCTTCGGTACTCTATAGTTCTCCTTAGAACTATAAGCTAAGAAAGATAACCAACAGTCTTTTTCAAGACTACACCAACAGTTTTTAGGACTACACACCCTCAAGAAAGATTACAGAGAGTCCTTTTCAGGACTCCTCATTCCTCCCTCTCTCTCTCTCTCACATGGTGCACCCGCAAGCCTACTGTATATTATTTCTTCAAACATATAAGCATTAGGTCTTTGACCTCTAAATTCTGTTTACCTTTGGGGTCAAGATTCAAGTATTCTATTGGGGTCAGAGATATATTCTGATTATTCAGGAATCCAAATCTGTGGTGTACACTTCCACATTACGATGTGTTGGCTCAGTCAGTAGAGCGTCCGCCTCATAACCGGGAGGTCATGGGTTCGAACCCCGGCCGCGTCATACCAAAAGACGTTAAGACGGGAGTTGCTGCTACCTTGTTTGGTGTTCAACATTAAGGGATAGAGCAACGTCGATCTGGCGCTGCTCAGTGGCTGCCGGGCTGACGATCAATTGGGCAAAAAGAATTTACATTTTCGGTCTTAACAAAATTTGAAGTGGAATTTAAAAGATTATTATTATTATTACATCCTGTGATCCACAAAGTTCTTCGGATACATGAGCGAGAAATGGTTTGCTACTTCTGTTCATGAATAGATTAGTAAAACCCAACATCATCTAAGATGCAACCAACCAATTTGATTTGCTTATGTAGGACTCTCCTTACATGCTGGTGTGACCAGCTGTCTACAATTATCTGTTGATTTCTGAAGTGGCTTTTGTCAACGATTGCACAATATGTACAAAATAGGTTGTTATTAAGGCGCATTATTGCTTCAATGATCCACATCCAAAAATTTGCTTGAAGAAAAGTATAGTATGTACTGGGGTGGGTGCTTAGATGCAACATGCACCGTTTGCGCTTTACAAGTAGCCCACAGAGAATTTCAAGAGTGCCACTTCACAAGTGAGAAAACTAGCCACTAAGAATGGCCTTCTTTGAGAAGTACTGAAATTACAGAGTGCCTCACAAAAATCATTAGTTCAGTGTGACAACCACATGTTGCTTATAATAACCAACATTTTTATGAGGCACAGTGTAGAGAGCAAGATTAATAGCAGTCCAACAGACTGGTTGGATATTTCCTCCTATCTCTCCATCCTTGGTCCATAGGAACATAGGTGTTTGCTACTCCGAGATGTTAGTTCCGTCTGCTTCTCTTTGCCTGACTCCTGCTGGATGAGCTCATGGCACTGAATGGATCTTCGCTGTCATTCTGAAATTATAAAAACAACAATACAATGATCAACTTAAAGCCTGTCTGTACTAGCTTGGCCAGGGGGGATTCGAACTCCCTGCAAGGTCACTGACAGTGGTTATTTCATCAAATCAGCTCTCAACTAACATAAGAAAAAGAGGATCATGGGGGATCAACAGGCACCGATAAGGCATTGTTTGCTATATAGAGGGTGCAAGTAGCTATAGTGCAGTGGGGCTTTAAGAGGTTTCGTGGTCTGTAGAGGTGTCATGGTCTAGTGGATGCCTCACCGGACCGTACATGGATCACATGGTTCACAGTTCAAGTCCCCCTGCGGCACTAACGTCCTTCAGCAAGACATTAACCTACACTTGCCACTCTCCAGGTGAATCGATAGGGTTGCCGGTAGGAAGAAATTCCTTGAATAATTTAGCCCCTTATTATGGCGGCTCAACAACAGCTTGGGTACTTATATGATCAATTGTATTAAGCGCAGTAGAGTATATTCAAAGAGTACCTGAGTTACATAAATGTACCTATTGTCATTATTATAATTATTATTTGCTCTCAATCACACAAAGAAAAGATTATTACTACAAGTACTACCTATATGTACTGCTACTACTACAGATTGGTAAAACTTGAAATTGGTCAAACAGTAAAGAAACATTGGATTTTTAATACTTGGACAACATGATTGTTGTAACAATCGGAGTACATAACTTTATGATATGGCTCGTAAATAATATCCTATCCAGGGATGCCAGTTAGAATTGATCAGAGGGTCTGAAAATCACCTACAATGAGCTATTTTGTACACAAAAAAAGCCTAAACTATGGTCTGAATATAACTTGTCAGGGCCTGAATTCAGGCTATTGCAATGGAAATCACACCATATCTGTTTCAAAACTTTGTATAAATTAGAGAAATTAAAAATTAATCATTTTTCATATGGAATCTTGTGAGAGAATGCCACAATTTAAACTTACGTCTGAAGAGTCACTGATGTTGATCACTTTGTTCTTCCTAAAGGATAGCAAAGAAACGAAAATAACATGAACAACAATTTAATAGCAAACCTACACCAAACACACACTGCAAGAGAAAAAATAATCAGCAATTGATTGTTTACAGATTTCTACTTTTGCTCTTTTTCATCAAACTTGTTATCAATGACAAGTTCCCATGACTGTTAACAGCTACTTAAATTGTGGCATTTGATTGGTCGAGAGCAAATTTGTCATAGAAATATAGCATTTGTTATTGATAACAAGTTTTATGAAACAGGGCCTGGCCTCATCCAGACAGATGCTGAAGACCAGGGGCCCCGTTTCACAAAGGCTTTTTTCAATGACAAATGACAAAAATCAGTGACAAATCTGCTGATAACCAATCAGAAGCAAGGATTTCAATAGCTTATAACAAAAACTGTAATTTGTCACCGATGACAAGTTTTGTGAAACACCCCCCAGAAGAGAAACGTTCAACCCCACAGCGTGTGAAAAACAGACGCTAAACGATGATAATTGTATCAAGGACATTTACAATGATCATCTACAAAGATACTCACGTTGCTTTTGGTGCTCTGCTGCCCCTTGACGCTGGCATCGACACCTCCATATCATCATCATCATCATCATCCTAAAAGATATCAACATCAACATATTTTTTTTTTTAAATCATAACCACAATTCGATGAAATTGGAACTAACGCTAGTTGTGATGAATGTACTTGTGTCTGATGTCTACACTAATAAAGATAAGTTTGCTTTGGTTTTGCTCTACTTATGAGTGCCATTGTGTATTCATTTTCCTCATCACCAATTTCTTATCATCACCATCAAGATTTTCACTGCCGTCACCATTATCTTCATCACTAAATTCATCTGTCACTGATCATCATCTTACTTGCACTCAAAATCATCATCACTATCAATAAAATTATTGTTCGTTCGCAACAGTACCATCATCATCTTCATCACCACACATTTATAAATATGTATCACCATCAATACGATCGTCATCATCAATATCACGATCAACATCATCAATCGTCATAATCTTCATCACCATTTTTTTCATCAATCTTACTTCAAATGCAAGAACTCCTGGCTTCGTTCTGCTGCTCGATGATGTCATCAGCAGGGTCTGTTGGGTAGGAGCTGACCCTCGACTTGATGAACTTTGACCTCTTCCTCGACCTCCTCTGCTTCCCCTGCCACCCCTGCTACCTCTTCCTGTGTTCAAATCGTTTTTAAATAATGGAATTACTTAGGGACAGACAAAGCAATGCTGTATTGAAATAAAAAGCAATATTCATGTTTTGTTAATATATGGTACATCTCCTTCAAATTTCATCAAATTGAAATTGTTAAAATCACAATATTCATATACACGGTCTATATACGTAAATAAGCAAATTCCACGAATTGCATGAACTGATTATCATAAAAGAAATTCTCCAGGGACTTGAACTCATGTTTCAAAGAACAAATCACTGTAGCAAGCAGAAATTTCCTTGTCATTCAGGTGCTATGCAAGTATCATATCAAAACAATCAGTGTATTCTCATATTGTAAAAGAATGGACAATATCCACACGACCATATCTGTCCCTTCCTCTATCTCTCTCTCTCTCTCTGTTTTCCATTTTCTCTATTATATACTTCTCTCTCCCTCTCTTCCCCTCTACCTTTTGCCCTTGTTCTCTCTCTTGCTTGATATCCCTCATTCTCTCAGTTTCTTTCCCCTCCCCTCCCCTGCTCCTACTTTTCTCTCTTGCTCTCCCTCATTTTCTATCTCTGCTCTCCCAGTCACCCTTCCCTCCATTCCTTATTTCTTTGCCCTTCTCAATTCCCTTTTCCCTCCCTTTCCTTCACTCTCACCCCCTGTCACAATCTAATTCACACTATACCTCACACTATACCTCTACACTATACACTATACACTATACACTATACCTCTACGCACTATACACTATACTATACACTATACCTCTACACTATACACTATACACTATACACTATACTATACACTATACCTATACACTATACACTATACCTCTACACACTATACATTACACACTATACCTATACACTATACTATACACTATACCTATACACTATACATTACACACTATACACTATACCTCTACGCACTATACCTATACACTATACACTACACACTATTCCTCTACACACTATACACTATACCTCTACGCACTATACCTATACACTATACACTATACACTATACACTATTCCTCTACACACTATACACTATAACTCTACACACTATACATTACACACTATACCTATACCTATACACTACACACTATTCCTCTACACACTATACACTATACACTATACACTATTCCTCTACACACTATACCTATACACTATACACTACACACTATACCTCTACACACTATACATTACACACTATACCTATACCTATACACTACACACTATACCTCTACACACTATACATTACACACTATACCTATACACTATACACTACACACTATACACTATACACTACACACTATACCTCTACACACTATACACTATACCTCTATACACTATACCTCTTGCTGTGCTTCCAGCCGCTCCCCTTCCTCTTGCACGCCCTCTGGTAGACCTGGAAGGGCCGTCTCCATTGCCGCCCCCGATGCTCTCCTCGTCGCTATCCACACCATAATCTTGTGAATAAGCGTCTGGTCTCTGGCTGCGATCTTCAGTGATGGCCTATGAAGGGTGGAATAATCAAAACATAATAATAATAATATTGGATATTTATATAGCGCACATATCCACCATACATGGTGCTCAAGGTGCTTCAACTACCACTATGAACATGACGGACAGAGAAAGAGGACAAAATATACAGTTCCTCATTCTACCCTCAACAATTGCTGTGGTAGACAAAGGAACATCCCTTCACTACTATTATGTAAAAATGTGTATAACAGGTGTCACATGCATATTCACCTTTTCTTCACATTTTTACATAATAGCAGTGAAGGGATGTTCCTTTGTCTACCACAGCAATTGTTGAGGGTAGAATGAGGAACTGTATTTGTCCGTCATGTTCATAGTGTACCATCCCGGCTCTGCTAGGCAGCCGATTTGGGCGCTCACAGCATTCAAGGAATTCATTCCTACCGGTACCCATTTAATATCTGGGTGGAGAGTGGCAAATGTAGATTAATATCTTGCGAAAGGACATTAGTGGCATAGCAGAATAGCATCAGAACTGAAATTATTTTTCCAAGGTGACACTAGAAGAAGGAGTGAGAGCGCATCTGGCTGCGCCCAGCTAGATGCTGAGGACTGGAAGGATTGGAGAAGGACCATATGGGAAGCGCAAGCTTAAAGCCTATCTGCACTAGTTTGGCCAGGGGGATTAGACCTCCCTGCATGGTCACTGGCAGGTGGTTATCTCATCACATCAGCTCTCAATTAACATAAAAAAAAGGGGATCATGGGGGATCAACGGGTACCGCATAGGCATTGTTGGCTATGTAGAGGGCGCAAGTAGCTACGCGTAGTGCAGTCCTGCTTTAACCCTACAGCTTGGGAACAACTGATGAAGCATCCGAGGCTCTACCATACAGGGTAAACTGCCTACACTACCCAAATTGTAAACCTCAATTCCTACCTTCAGTTCTGAACCAAAACAAACCCTAACCCTCACCCACACCCTCAAGCTAACCTACAGCTAACCCTAATGAGAAAATGAAGTGCAGAGGAAATGTCACCAGGGCAAATGATTGTGAAAAATTTAGGATTTCACTGACTTTTATTAAGGACCGACACAAAATACTGGAGCAAAAAACCAGTTCATAGTTAGCATACGGTACTACTGATTCAAAATGTCTTAATAATCACTCTTGAAGTGATGGAAGTGCTCACAGAATTGCTTTCTATTTCCCCTATTGAACTAAATACTGCTAGCTGTACATCATGGAATGCACTGTGGGTACATAAATCAATAATGATCACAGACCTTGAGGTTCATATACATAGTGTTTTACAATGGATACAAGTGATTCGGGGTTAGTTACTGTGTAGTACAGTGTTGGGTCAAGTTTTGAAGTTTGTAATGATAGTCATAATGGTAGTAACATTTATATACTTATAGTGCTTAATACTAATGTTTTTAAGCGCTATACTATTATCATCCGGTTGTTGCTTATATACAGATTATATCCATGAACTGGTATATTTGTGAAGGAGAATGACGGGCTTTCTCTTACCGCTTTGACTTCTTGGGTAACGTCAGCTTCAGTCATCTCCCTTCTCTCCACCTTGAATCGATGTAACTAGAGGTAACACAAAGGTAGATGGATATTTACAATCAAGCCATTATCAACAATCAGTTCACATGTATTATATAGCATGCCATTTAGTTCTAAACATGTACATTTCATTCCCGAAGCAGACACAACCTCACCCACATGCAATCAAACCCACACGCAATCCAAACCACACATGAGCTGCCCTACCCCCAGTTCTTCAGGGTAAAACTTATTCTCCAAACAACTACCTGTATACATTTTACCTGTATTACTGGATCTATTACTCATATTTAGGGGACCCGTCTATCAGTATCTTATAGCACAGAGATCAGTGAATGGGCACAAGTGCTTTGTTGCACACAATTACAATTCACTTTTACGTTGAATATAAAAAATGTTAGTTTTTTGCGACGGTGTACCGTAGCATATATGAACAAGCCTTTATTCTTACACATTCATCATAAATTGAATGAATCCGAACGCAATCACATACCTCATCATCGATATGTTCCTCTGTTGTTTTTCTGTTCTTGAGTTGACCTTGCGTTTGGGAGAGCTGGTGTTTAACGAGGGCTTGGATGGCTTCCTTCTCCTCCTTGTCCACGTATTCCCTGACCGCTTGACCCAGGCCTTTCTCCGACAGCAGCTCCAGCTGCTTAGTCTACATGGATCCAAAAGACCAAATTATATAGATTCAACAATGCTAAGTATATTACTCATTGCAGATGTAGTATCAAAAATAATATCGCTAGTGATATTCGTTTGTCTCGCAATGTAAGGTCAACAAGGGATCTAAAAGATCACAACGTTTCATGCGCCGCTGCAACACTTCGTCAGATGATAAAATATAATGTAAGCAAGCATGTTTTATACTCTACGGGCGGACCGTCGGTCAAATAATTTGATCAATAATTAGATAGCTTCAGTTTGTAATGATTTGAGTCGCATCTATTTCAGTTCCATTCCATAATATAAAGAATCAAGATTATAATCACAGTTACGTAGGTGCACATTAGCAATGAATAAAATAGTATGGAGATACTATCTACCCATGGCCTAATAAAGGTCATTATTTGTACAAACCTCTAAATCCTCGAGACTAAAGCTGGATATGTGTTCATGAAAGTTCTGTAATCATTATTTGTTTCATCACCTACAGTACATTCTATGATACACATGTGGAAATTTGCCTTTGAAAAATCCCATCAAGACTATAGCTGGATATGTGTTGATGAAAGTTCTGTAATCATTATTCATTTCATCACCAAAGGTACATTGTATGATACAAAAGTGGTAGTTTTCCTTTGCAAGAGGGCAAACAGAAGGACTTCCTGAAGCACCTCTATCATTTTGGTAGAGATTGTTCTAAAATATGCAAAGAGGGACTTCCCAACGTTTAAAATATCGGTGGGGGTCATTTGCACATGTGCTATCTTTGAGCTCATATATTCCTAAATATAAGAAGTGTTCCCAGTCTACTATGACTTCAGTTATCAACAACAACAAAAAAGGAAATGAAATGACAAGACAGAGGAAGCTCTGAAAAACAGCTCCATAGGTGACACATGTTTTAAATTGATGAGACATTAATCTACATTTGCCATTCTCCACCCAGGTGAGGTAAATGGGTACCTGGCAGGAATTTATCCTTTGAAATGCTAGAGTGCCGTAATGGCAGCCATGCTAAAGCTGGGTAATGATTGTGGAGCGCCAGGAGTGTCAAATCTGACATGAGTTCTATATGAGTGCTATCAAAATATTGAAGAACCCACTATTAATATCATTATTATTTCTAAAGATCTGTTACCTCTTCTGTCTCAGAGAAGTACTTGCGAACGAGGTCTTCCACTCTCTCCGTTTCAAGAGCCTCTGGCTTGAGGAATTCCCCCAAGTCTTCTCCAGGTTTGGTATCTGAAGGTAGGATGGATAACACATGCATGTAAGATATGTAAATAATGAACAATCCAAAGGCCTGTCCACATTAGCTCGAGTTTGCCAAATAGCCCGCTATTGATTTTGGGAAATTAGCCCAATCACAGAATAGAAGGCTATTTGGCAGGTGAAGACGCAAATAGCGGGCTATTTGCTCTGGAAATCTTCCAAAGATATCTTGGGCTAGTTTGCAAAATAGGCAGCTATTTGGCAAAATATCCTGTTATTTGTCCAGTGCATCTTCACCAGCCCGAAGACTTGCACTATGCGCCAACACTGAGCAAATTTCTCAAGCTAATTTCTCGAGCTCTACTTTTGAGTTCATGAAGCCGAGATTTGTAACTTCGGGCTAATTTCCCAATCAGAAATAGCGGGCTATATGGCAAATTGGAGCTGATGAGGGCAGGCCTATGAATACATTTTCAGTTGGAGCTACAAGGGACTTAACTCATGTTGTTTTATACAGATTTAACGCTCTTTGGCTCTAACAGATACAAGGTTCTTCTAAAAGTTCAACTACAACTTCCCCCCATTAAACCCTGATGATCATAATACTTGAAAAGAAAGTTGTTTGAGAAAATAGGGTAAGAAACATCTTATCCATCTTTTGACAGATCACTGTTGGTGATGATCATGATTATGAGGATGAATGCTGATGATGCTAATAACGATGATGATGACAAAGACGATAGTAATGAAGGTGATAATGATGATGCTGACAATGATGATGATGATGATGATGGTGAAAATGATGATGATGACAATGATGATGCTGATGATGCTGATAATGATGACAGTTAATGAAGGTGACAATGATGATGATGATGATGATGATGCTAATGATGATGGTGAAAATGATGAAGAAGATAAAGATGATGATGGTGATAATGATAACCACATTAATGATTCTTGTATTTAACATTTATAGACAAAAAGAGAATGAACTCACCCTCTTTTTTTAATTGTATTCTTCTCTTAGTAAAGCGGACAAGATCCTTTGTGTTAGCCACACGACCTACAAACTTCTGCCCAAAACGGTTCACATTGATTGTGTCGAATCCCCCACTGTAGTCAACCTACATATAGAAGTTAGGATAGATAGTAATTACAGCCTTAAGTAAACCAGTTACATTGTTGAAGGTTGATAAAAAGAACTGCGTAATTTTTTAATGAAATTTCACTTATTATATTCCTTGCCCTGTACTAACCCTGTAACATGCAATTCTCCCAACAAATTTGTGAATTTTCGCAACGTTTTTCCATCAAGATACGACATAAGAAAGGCTTTTACAAATCTTTAAACACTTGAATGTCTGGAATGGCATATAGAGCTCATTCATTGGTCTGTGTCGATTTCCATTCACCTAAAATTAAATTAAATTGTAATAATATAGTTAGGAGAATTAAGGAATCGATCAGATCAGTTTTTCCCAATTTCTATCATTAATAATTGTCTGTTTTCACTCAAACTTTCAGATTATCTTTAATTGTACATCTAGCATTGAAGTCACTACCTTAGCACCATTTTGCTCTCATCTAAACAATTTTACCAAGTCTCTTTAATGCGAGTGCATTAATTGTGAAAGAAACGTTGTGGAATCGATCAGAAAAGGTTGATCATCTAGCATACATGTATACTGCAACCTTCTGAAATCATCAAAATGATAAGAAATTTTGCCCAAAAAGTTACAAGCACTGTACACAGAAAGATGTATGTGGGACTACCCTATATCTATCCAGTCCGGATAGATATAATAATTTACCAAATATATCAATTAGTAGGCAGTTTCCCGGCAAAAAAGGTATCATCACGTATTAGTAAAAACATATTCTTTCACGTGATTGGTAATAAGCGCTTCCATTTCATTTTTGAAATGGGGTCGTTTCCAAAACTGGTCTTTACCTTTAAGCGCTATATAAATACAGATTATTTTTATACAAAGTTCATTGACAAGAGGACATACCCGAAGCCGAATCAGTGGAAGCGTGGGCTGTTTTCTGTTACCGGTGTGTTCATCTTCTGCTCTCTGGATCAGGGCTTCCACCTATTAAGACATAAAAGTGGTGTGATTCCTGTGCGTACTGCATCACACCTCATTCAAAGCTCGATGCAGTAGTAATATTTGAAGCTCACATTTTGAATACAGTATAGCCAAATAGAACCCCATGTGCTTATTTATATTCATATGCCATGATTTATGTATGTTGTTAGATAGAGAAAAAATGACATAATAATCCTGTACACATGGTATAATACAGAATGGCTTCAGGATTTCAAGATTCACCGTTTATTTTGAAAAACATGAGATTTTTGCAATTAATGCCTCTATTTAGTGCAAAAAATCCTTGGAAATATAGACTGCAAAACATCATCTTTTTGTAGTTATTAACAAGCTTCATGACAAATCTCTAATCTAATAAAAAGAATCATGGGCAGCTTCCCCAAAATACAAAAGATCACCATGCCTTCTAGCTTGGCTCAGGTGGCAATCCTTCTTCATGATTATTTTATGTTAGTAATACAATGTCCATATTCCATGTTGACGATGTCTTGATTACATAATTCTTTTATTATCATGATTATGTTGTAATAATTTTGTAATTTAGGAAAAAGACCATGAAAAAAATTAAATCAAATCAAATACACTTGATCAAACAGTTGGAGAGGATGCTGTGCTACCTACCGATTGTGGAACATGCTACCTACCGATTGTGGAACAGTCTCCCTAACATACTTAAGGACTGTAGATCAGTGGGTCATTTCAAGGCCAGTCTGAAAACTTATCTAATGGCCAACTTTAACTAATATAATCATTTCTACCATGTATAATGTAATGTGAGCATAATTGTATCTAAGTATAGTTTATATGTAGTTTATTGTAAGCGCCTTGAGCACCCTCTGGGTGGATATATTGCGCATTATAAATGTCTTTATTATTATTATTATTACCTTTTCAGTGCAAAATGCGCTGGTTTTCTCTGCGAGCTTGACATCGTCAGGATCAAGGGTTGTGTCCTGGAGGGCTATGTCTTCAATGTAGAACGGTCGGACAGTCTCCAGTTTGAGTTTGGTGCACTTCATGGCCTTCCCGCGAACCTGCAGCAGGCCTACATGCCTAGGGATGGCGGGAGGGGTGGAGAGTTGGTGTGAATGAGAGAGATATAAACAGGTAGTAGATATAGAAAGATAGTACAGGAAAGGACAGCAAGAGGGGAGAGAGAGAGAGAGAGAGAGAGGGGGGGGGGGTGAAACAAGGGGGAGGGGTGAGAGAGGGAAAGTGAGAGAATAAAGGGAGATAAGGAGAGATACAAAAATAGAGAGAGAATGAGAGAGAGAAAGAGAGAGAGAGAGAGAGAGAGATTGAGAGAGTAGGAGAGGCATGAGAACAGGTATCACTTAATCAGAATTCAAATTCAATTCACATTGACATGTTAACATTTTGAAATAATAGGATTATCATAAAAACAAACAAAAGAAAAGAAAGCTACACAAAAATGAGGTATACTATTAAAAATGATTTTGAAATGATTTTCTAACTATGTGTTGTTTCAAAGGTATAATTGTTCAATTGATTTATATTATGATATGAATATGTATTTTTTGACTTTTGTTAAACTTTATATATACCTAGTTTCTTTATAAATTGTTATTATGCTGAAAAATGCAGAAACCAAATCAAAACAAACAAACAAGACAAAATACAAAGAGAAATAAGTTTGGTGTCCGCATGGAGGCAAGGAAGAGGACTTACTTAGGCTCAGCTTCTCCAGGCGATAATGAGGTGGCTATACTACTGCCAGGCTGGCTGATGAAGAAGTTCTGTGTAGCGTTCCATACAGGGTCAATCAGGCATTCATGCTCGTGACCCCAAATGACCAGGTCAATGAAGTTGTCCAGGAACTGCTCGGGGATGTAGTTGTGCTCGCCATGCTTGGCTCTGAAAGGTAGATAGGAAAATAGATTAGATAATAATAATAGTAATAATAGTACTAATAGTAATAATAATAGTAATGGTAATAGTAGTCTCTTTTTCTTCTTATCGAGTCACTACACAAGTCTTGTCCAGTGGTCCACACAGGCTTTGGCACAGCAATTCACGGCTTCCAGGTCATCTTGGCCAGGTACATGGCTCTGGCAGGAGTAGGCAGACTAGCAGGTGTTCCATTGTCTGTTCCTGGCCGCATTCACATGCCGTTTGTTCGTCTCCTAGACCCCACCTCTGCATTAGGACTCTGCATCGTCCGTAGCCAGTTCTTAGACGGTTAAGGCTTAGCCAGGAAGGCCAAGTCTCGCTGGAGCCGGATGGTAATAGTAGTAGTAGTGATCATGACAACAATAAATAATTATAATAGTTGGTTCTCGTATAGCGCTCATGTCTGTAGGACTTGACAATTCTGGCGCTCCACAATTATTACCCCTGTCTTTATAATTGCTGCCATTATAGCACTCTAGCATTTCAAGGAATTAATTCCTGCCAGGTACCCATTTACTTCAACCAGGTCAAGTGTGGTATTACATACTTTTTTTTAAATTACAGCACAGTGCTGGTTATTATTGCACACTGTTAAAAAACAAAACTTTGATAGTCTTAAAGGTAAAGATCATTTCTGGTCATGCGATTGCATTGTGAAAGAAACGTTGTGGAATCGATCACAAAAGGGTGATAATCTAGTATATAAGTATAGGTGTGTACTGCAAGGTTCTGGAATCATCAAAATGATAAGAAATTTGGCCCAGTCTTGGTAAAGTTACAAGCACTGTACACAGAAATCTGTAAATAGGACTACAAGTAAAATCCAGTCTGGATAGATATAATAATTTACAAAATATATAAATTAGTAGGCGGTTTCCCGGCAAAATTTGTATCATCGCGTATTCGTCAAAACATATTCTTACACATAATTGGTAATAAGAGCTTCCATTTCAATTTTTTAGAGGGCGGCGTTTCCAAAACTGGTCTATGCCTTTAATAAATGAATCATTCTATTAGGATCTAGGAGTGAATTGTGTAATAACCAAATGCACTTTTGATAATAGGAGAAGGTTGATTTACAAGAAACATAGGAGTATCACCTGTTCTGATGGATGACAAAGATATTAAACCAGGAATCAGCATTCTGCTTTGGTCTCAGCATGGAGATCTTTCCTGATAGAAACATCCGATGAAGACGCTCATCTCGTATGGAACCTGTAACCATGGAAACCATCACAATGCATTAAATAATGATGATGATGGTGGTGATGATGATGATGATGATGATGGTGATGATGATGGTAATGATGATAATGATGATGATGATTATGATAATGATGATGACGACGATGATGATGATGACGATAATGATGATGATGATGATGATGATGATGACGATAATGGTGATAATGATGATGATGATGATTATGATAATGATGATAACGATGATGATGATGATGATGATGATGTAATGATGATGGTAAGGATGATAATGATGATGATGATGTTGATGATAGTGTCGGTGTTGAAGACAGTGAAGATGTTGATGATGATGAAATAAGGTATCTGAGCAAGATAGTTACACGTACAGTATCATTACTGTCACCGAATTAAAATGAAATTCTGCACTTCCCGGTGTACACTCTACACTCCATGTCTACCACTGGCTTTTTTACAGGCATTAAGGAAATTCGGAAGCGGTCCAAATTCATAAAAGTTTGTTGTGCCAAATGGCTCAAGTACACCAATGAAATTGGGACATCGCAAAATATCTTGGTGTGAAAATTGGCCAACATGAACAATTTTTAAGGTTATTAATACATCTTTTTTTTTGGAGGGGGGGGGGGGGGGAGGGGGGAGGGGGGGTTGTCGGGGATTCAGGAATGCTTTTTACTTTTACTTATTTAGCCTGAACAGAAGCAATGCATGATGGAACACTAAATATCATAATACAATAAAGCCTGAAGAAGAGTGACAAACTTATACCATAGGTGACAGAGAATTAAACTGGCAACCAGGCCCGTCTTGTAAAGAATTTATATTAATGGCAACATATTTGCAATTGATATCAATCACAACATGTACATAAGAGATGGGAGACTGCAAACTTGCGATTGATTTGGATCAATCACAACTCTTTATAAGACGGGGCCAAGGCCTGGTCGGGTAGAGCTTGGGCAAACTTACCTAGTCCAAACGTAGCTAGCTTGGTTGTTCCTTTCTGAATGAGGATGGGGGAGATCTCAACCGATTCCAGCGAGGTACTTTTACCAAAGTAGTTCACCAAGCCAGAGACACTCAGCATGTCTAGAGCACATAGATTACCCAGCTTCAAGTGTGCATAGGGAAGAAGAAGATAAGGAATTATATTTATCATTCCAACCCACGTAGCAGTCGGTGTCCATGTGCATTGCATCATAATTTGCCGACACCAGATTTGCTTGAATTACCAATTAATGTGTCTGTGTGTACAAAGACCTCTGAAGCAGCAACCCTTGATCAAGACCTTACATACAATAAAACCTAAAAAATAAATTGTTCTGCATTACATCGCATGAGCATTACTTTTTCGACTAATTAGAAATTCCAATACATGTAGCCACTACAACTTTCAAGACTTCGTAACTATCTTATTATCTGTCTTATTTCATTCAAACTTTCACCAATCTGCTTTTCTGATTTTTTCTGCTTTCTATTATCGCAATTTGTGATTGAGGTTGGATATCCATTTAATACAGTTTTATTCATGGTCGGTAATTTGGTTAATACATTTGTTTTAAGATAGTGTAAACTCACCCCAGCAGGATCATCGTGATTGCCATGTATAGAGAAGACAGGCATGTCAATATTCAGGTTTGCATCTTCATAGTTCACACTGGGGAATCTAAGTCACGAAAGACAGAGGGTTGGAAATCAATATGAAATGAAAACAAAAATAGATGAAACTAATGATGCCTCTGCCATAAAGCGATTTTACAAGCCAAAACAGAAGCATCCATTAACAGGTTCTCAGAATATCATGATTACAAGCTATTTTTCAAATATATTTATGACCCTTTGATCTTCGACCTCATGATCCTGAAATCTCTTCAGTTCATTGGCTCTGCAAGATACATACATGACCCAAGTTTGGCGGGAATCCATCAATCTGTTCTTGAGATAACGCGATCACGAGATGGGACGGATGGACGGACAACCCATTATACTGGATAATTATGTATACTTTCTATTTCACAACTTTAAACCATGTAAAATATTATACAAATAATGAATGGTTATGAGTTCAATAGTGCGAATATGTTCATGAGTTGAAAGATTAACATTCTATTCAACGAGGCGTCAGCCGAGTTGAATAGAATTAACGTTAATACGCAAAACGCAAAACGAATATTTGCACTATTAAACAAATGAAAAACATTCATTATTTGTTTTATACAACATCGAAGAAGACCTAATAGAACGTTAATCAACAAATTATGCTTTACTCCTTATAAAGATAAATTAAAGTTCGAGTCAAGCCTTCTCGATGACATGCAGATTGCCTTCGCGTCAGAAACACGCAGGGATACACGCACATGCAGCAGAGAGGTACGCAATCTGCATATAACCAAAAATGCACGGCGCATAGAACCAAAAATGCACGACCGTGCAATATACCATCTATTGAATATCATGTGACCAACAATCGTCCAATCAAATGACAAGGATCCACGTAGGTGTTGTATAAATTATATTATTGAATGTTGAATTGTATATCTGATTTCTTGTCATAATTACTGTTCTGTTGGAAATGAAAAATAAAACTGAAACTGAAACTGAAACTGAAACTGAAAACATAATGCCTCCATTTACTTTGTAGCGGAGGCATAAACAAATTATATTTTTAGCACCCATCAATGCCTCACCCTTTTTAAATATGATAAGAATTATTTTTGGAAAAGTATCTGCTATATTGCTGGTCAACAGCCTGGCAAAAGAAGACTACAAATCATGACTCATTAGTATATTCATGGAAACATCATCACGTTCAAATTGGCAGCTCTATCGTCTCCCTTGCAAGCAGCTCGTTATCTGTTTTATACCAAGAATGATAAACAATAGGTTTTGGTTTTTACATATCTGAATAAAATATTAGCAAAAATAAAGCCTCATCAAGACGCATTTACCGGCTCCATATTTGTCTTCTTTTGCGGCACTTCATTTTGATAAGCTACCTTACTAAACTTACGGACTGGCTGCGAAGTTGACGCTCTGATCGCTGAGGAACTCGATCTGGACCGGTCTGTCACCCATGCAGTACTTCCTAAGCAGGGTCATGACCCCATGGAGGGACTTCCTGGAGGGTTTGTTCTCATGAAAGAGGTCACCTCCAAGCAACACCATGTCAACCTGCAACAGGCAAAGGGTCAAAGGTTAACCATAGGGTGATAGAATGTAGCCATCTGATTGGTCCGGTGACACCATGTGGCCGTGCATCATTCTTTCCTACCACTCTACCGTGCAAAATAGTTACCATCAAAAAATGATAACCCACAGCTAAAAGTGATAATGAGGGGCTAGGATATGCATTTCTTTCCCGAAGACTCTCTGAGAGACGAGAAAGTGTTTCTTGACAGAGTTTGCTATGTATACAGACCTGTACACCCATACATGGCATTTCCACCAATTCAGGAGTCAGCGAATTATGACCAATTGCACATGGAAACTGACGACCCACTGAGTTTAAAGGCCATGTAGCTTGGCAAATACGCCATCTACGGTAGTCAGCGACTTAATCTCTACATGGTCAGCGTTCGTGGAACAGACCATGGTTCTCCTCACACTTTGGTTTCACTAATGTTGCAAGCACGTGATTGCTGCCGCCGCGTCGTCCATATTCGTATTAAACCCGACTGGCCCTGAGTCAGGTCACCGAAAAGACATGTAGTCCCGTCAGTCTACACTGACTTTAACTCTTTACCTTGTTTTTACGTGCCAGCTGCAGGATCTCCTCAAAGGTGTTGATGGAGTCGCTGTGACGGATGGAATCTTTCTCCATGTATCCTACGTGACAGTCGGTAGCCACCAGGATCTTGATGGTATTCTCATCTACGTCATCCATGTTCCTAAGATATTAAGAGAAAAGTAAACTTGCTTTAACCTTAAATTTGCGTAAGTGATTTTAATATTGTAAAAATTGTGATTATCCTTATTTTTACAATTATCATTATTGTTATTATTGTTCTTATTAATATTGGTATTATATATATTTTTATCACTATCATTACTTTCATTATGATAATTATTACATATTATTATCATCATTATCACCACCATCATCAGCATCCTCTCATTATTTCAGGTCTGGATAAACATGACTTTTTTAGTACAGTTAATTTTTTACACTGGAAAATATTTAATCAATCCCAAAACCTTTGGTAGAACCACCCCACAGGGAAAACATTTGCATGTCACATACAGATATAGAGGAAAAGAAGAACTCTCATATACTGTACAGTATCCAAAGTCTGGACTGTGAAGCACAAGGTACAGGGTTTGAATCCCTCCCACAGCACCTTTCCTTTGGCAAGACATTGATATACATCTGCCACACTTGACTACAATGTACATGTAGTAAGCAGGTATTTTGTAGGATTTATTCCTTACACATACTGAGCATGACTGCCAGAGCTAAAATACATGTAGGGGTAATAATAACCATGGTCTTTGGGAAATGCACAGAGACATTGTATCATACTGTGGTATGCGCTATACAAGAATGGAATATTGTTAAATTAATGACTTGTTGACTCCTCAATTGTCTAATTCACATAGGTTTAATACAGGAGCCATTCAGTCCCAGGACACAATGGGTTAACATGACAAAGAATAGGAATACTTACCCAGGTACCTGCCGAACCTCATCATCAGAACTGGCCATTGCAGATCCTATCTTCCTCCTGCAATCAAAGAAAAAGTGGATCTGCTCTCAACAAAGTTACAAAATCCATTTACATCTCATTAAGAAGTGTATCAGGAAAACAACAACAATGGTTGCTGCTTTCCAGGAGGCCACCCTTTTGTAGCTTCCAGAATGCTTTAATCTGTAGGAGCATGGTTTTTATTTCATTTACATACCAGTTCAGTTTGCACCGTTTGGTGTCATCTGCGCCATCACCTGCTAGCTGTGACAACACATCCCATCCTAGTTTAATTTGGAATAGCTGCTTCAGGGACTATGTCGTCAAGGTTCAACGTTCAACTGTCCCCTTAAAAAACAACCGACCAACTGAAAACTACAGCCTTAGGGTATTAGTAGAAATATTACGTCATTACGAACTTGTAGCTCGTGCACAGTTTTTCCTTCATAATCACTTTGCTTTCGGTGTAGATTAGAAGGAATGAGATTTAGGTAACGTCATGGCTAGCTAGATTTTGAACATGGATGTCGATTTTGACCCATAATTTCCTGAAAATGGACCATTAAACAGATTTATCCAGTCAAGTTGGTAAGTGGAACGGATGTATTATAGCCTAGCCCTAGGTCTAGGCCTAATTTACAATATAAAATAAATCGGATATGCATCCGGTAAAAGGGGGCAAGAGAACATACATATTTTTTTTTTAGTCCCAAAATTTGAAAATTTGACCCATCAGCATTTCGTTCCGTTGGGGGGGGGGGGGGGGGGGGGGGGGGGTAGGTCATCATTTTCAGGTCATCCATCAGGATTTTTTTTTATTACAACTCTAAATAAAAAATAAATAAAAAAACTCAACCCTCCCCCCCCCCCCCCTCCCCTGCGTACGTGCCTGGTCACGGTGGACTTTCCCTTAAAGTTAATGCATCAAGATCAATCCCGCTAAAAGTAGAACATCATCATTAACTAAACATAATAAAGCATTAACATGAAATACAGTTAGTGGGACTGGTGTAAGATTTTAAGTAGGGGTCTAATCAATTGTCATGCAAAGATAAATATTCAAAATGATTTAGCTTAACATTTGCGTTAGTATCATGTTATCCGTAGTTCCATGCGATGACAAAAATAAATTAGTGCGAATAAAGTCATAAACCTACCGTTATCAGAGATAAGTTGTCTGTCAGTTTCATGGAAGATAAACACAATATGACACACAGTGTTGATGGCATTGCATTGCTTGCATGCATGGTGTGGGGATTCCCACGAGTAATAAGCAAATTTCCCGCAAAGATGTGCTGCCCTCTACAGTAACAACAACGCAGGAGAAAAAGTAATCATGTCATGATTTCTTTATATCAACTTTTTTTGTGTGTTCATTTTGTTCATTTTTATCATGTTTATACTAACATCTTTGCTCCTTCTATTCCTCCTCCCGCCCTTTTCTCCTCCTCTTCCCCCTCTATTGCCTCCCCTGTTCTGCTCCTGATCATCGATCTTATGCATGTATGATTCCCCTTTTTATCGAGGTGAGAGGGCCCGTTCAGGGGCCGGGGGTCGTGTAAGGGACCACTTTGTTTGGAATGGAAACCCACGCAATAATGATAAAGAAAGAAAAAAAATCTTTTCATAATGGAATCCACTCTCAGAAAGGGGGTGATTAAGAAACGTGGCCTATTTGTTTTTAGTAAATTGCGGGATTAATTGTTGGTCGGATCGAGTGAAAACACCTTTATTAATGAAGTGATCCCTAATCATTACTGAACCTCCACTCTATAGAAAAAAATGAAGTAGAGAAAGAAAAAAATGTCACCATTCTCCTGAATCAAGAGAGTATAGTTCAATCAAAAAATAAGAGAGAAAAAAGGAAAGGGAAAGAAAAAAGGAAGAGGAGATAAAGGGAAGGGAAAAAAGAGGAAGAAAAAGAGAGGAGGGGGACCATGCATTGCTATGTTTACAAATTTAACCCTGTAAACCCGGGGCCAGGAAATAAGTTATTTTTCAGTTTTCCCCCTCCCGCGCGAAGCGCGGAGGCTTTGACACTTCATTACATTATTAGAGAAAGAAGACGATTTGTTGTACCGTTCCCGACTCTAACTTCTTGTTTCGCCCCTCCCACGCGAAGCACAAGAAGCTTTGACGTTTCATTTAATTATTAAAGAAAGAAGACGATTCGTTGTACCGTTCTCATTTCCCCTTCCAGCGCCGAAGTGCGGAAGCTTTGACGTTTCATTAAATCATTGGAGAAAGAAGACGATTCGTTGAACTGTTCTTTACTATTATTCCTTGTCTGAATTCAGTCCCTCCAGCGCGAAGCACCGAAGTTTTGACGTTTCATTAAATTATTACTCTTATGATCCTTGTATGAATTCATTTTCACCCATCCCGCGCGAAGCGCGGAAGCTTGCACTTTTCATTAAATCATCAGAGAAAGAACACGATTCGTTGTAGTGTTTTTGTTTGAATTCAGTCTTCCCCCTTCCGCGGAGGCTTTGACGCTTCATTAAATTATTAGAGAAAGAAGACGATTCGCTTTACCGACTCCTAATCATTGTCTCAATTTTCAAAAATTTTCTTTGTCCGATAAGAAATTTGCCGATAAATGTCCGATAAGAAATTTGCCAGCCGACCGACATAATACCTCTCACCGACCTCAAACTTCTGAATTGATGTAGTACACGAGGATCGAGCAAACCATTCCGACACCGCGGTCCTGACACAGCAACATAATCTATGCGTATCTTTCTTGTCCCCTCGACGTGGTGACTCTACCCAACATCCCCCTCTCTATCTTAAATTCTCTCAGGCTCTTACCCCCCTCTGTCTCTACTCTCTTTTACCCCCCCCCCCCCCGTTTCTTTTGTTTCCTTTTCTTTATTCGTCTCCTTCCTCTTTTTCTTTGTCTCTTTCTTTCTTCTATTTCCTGTGTTTTCTTTTCTTTCCCTTTCCCTCTCATTTTCCCCTCCCCCTTTTCTCATTTTTCCAGACAGCAGCGCAAGTTTACCGCCAATATCCTGACAGGTGGGAGGGGGGGGGGGGGGGTGTCGCACCCCCATCATGACCCCCCCCCCCCTTTAATGACGCCCTGGTTGTTATCCCATTGTTCTTTTAAAAGAAATGCAATTCATCATGCTCTCGCACCTCTCTTATATCGTTGTTTAATTCTCTTTCATTTTGTTTTCCTTTAACTCACACAAATTATCTCTTTCCCCCTTTACTATTCTTCTGGTGCTTTTTGTTTGTTTGTGGGGGGGGGGGGGACGGGGCTACACGCCTGGCAAGAGGGACTCCATGTCACGCGCACTGCAAAATTGCGTGCCCCCCTGCCCCTTTGTCGGTAAAAAAAACACTTTCTTATAATATCATCCATCTCCCCCCCCCCCCTTTTCTTCTTTCCCCTCCTTTTTCTCCTCTCCCTCTTTTCTTCTTCTTTCTCTCTTCCCTTTTCTTTTCCCGCTTCCCCCTCCCCCTTTTTTAAACCGGGGGACACGTGCCCCTGAATCCGCCACTGATATAGGGAGTTCCACGTTATGAATAGAGTTCATTATGACTAGCGAGGCTAACCCCTTCAAAAAGGTTGAACATTATCCCATCGTTGTTTCAAATTTGCAATAGATTGCAAACCTTTGTGTTACGGCACCCAGATTTCCTTTCTGATCGTTGTTGTTTTTTTCCCCGAAAATACAAAAACAAGAATAATGAAGAGGTGGGGACAATGAAATAAACAAAATTGATGTTTATAGACACCAGTTTTTTTCAACAACTCAAATGTGCCATAATTTGCTTCTCAATAATTGTATGCGGGAATTGACGTTGCCTCCGATTCTCGCATATGACACCGACGAAACTGTCCATCATAATACCTTATAAGAAACAATACACACAGAACACATTGTTTTTGTTTACCAAAGTGTCATTGCAATTTAATAAACAATATTTTGTACTTAGTCATCGGCGATATCATTTACACGTGTTAAAGATGTACAATATAATTCCATACACAAAATAAGATTATCTGTGACTAAAAAATGAGAACATACTGTACACAAAACTTACCGAAAAAGAGAAACATTCTTTTTAATAAAAATATCGCATTTTACATCTGTTTTTCCTCCATAATAAAGCAAGCATTTGCTACAAAATATGAAAGAAAATTAAAATATTACGGCGTGTACAAGTCAAGTGATCAAATATACGCTGCAGCTACATAATTGATTGTTATTGTCACGTATGAAGAAGACATTAATAAAATCATGTTTTGAACAATCATCTGCCTAAATTAATGGCCATAAGATTTTTAACGAGTTTCGGCATGAAGTAAAAATCGATGACTTAAAATCACAAATGAACATTATTTAACCGTCATAGTGGTGATATGCACATTCAATATCACTGATTTTAAGGTCAAATTTGACATCGTTTTCTTAAAATCGAGTATTTCAAATAAAAATGATTAATATTATTTTAATATCCACATGATCTTGGTATTTTGCCATTTATATGGTAGATTTAAATCACGCATAACAATAAATAGTTTTAATTAAATGCAATCAATGTTTTTTTCAGTATGCGGCACATTATGTTCTACGCGATGAGAGAATGTGAAAGTCTCATCAAAATACGAATTCGTATGATCTATATACGTAGAATAACTACAAAGCAGGACCCGAAAGCGAAATGCAATCTAATTTCCTATTTTTTCGTCTGAAAGAAGAAGAAAACAAAACAAAATCATAATTTCGCAGGCCTCTGGTTGCGTTTATTTCTATTTTGGTTTGTCTTTTCTTTACATTAATAATTATGATCAATAATTTGACGTATTGTTGTAGTTTAATCATCGAAATATTCGAATCGTTTTAGTTTTAGTGTGTGGCACCAATACCACAAACCCCTGGGCAAATATCAATGAGAGAACGAGGAGAAAAGAAAGAAATAGACTCATGACAAAGAGAGAAGATGGTTAGCATTACAAATGGCAAAGGGAAAGGGAGAGGGAGAGGAGGAAGAGGAGGAGAAGTGTTAGGATAGAGAAAGAAAAGAATGAGAAACAGCTAGAAAGAAGAAAATGTAATGAGAAGGAAAGCATCTGAGGGCAGAATTTTTTTTTTTGACAGGAGACGAAGAAAGAAAAAACGCGGGATGAAAAGAAAGGAAAGGAAGACGAAATGTACGACAGTCAAGAAGAAGAAAAAACAAGAGAAAGAGAAAGAGAAAGAAGAAGAAGAATAAGAAGACCCGAAATTAGCATACTCTGAATTGTTTATCAGGTGCAATGTAGTAGATCGGAGAGAAAGAAGAAGAGAAGATTAAGAATGTAAAGCGGAAAGACGAAGACGAGGAAGAAATACGATTTAAACGGGGAAGATGATCAGAGGGGAATATATATCGATGAGGAAACGAGCATAAAGAAGAGAGAGAGAGATGAGAAAGAAGGAAAGAAAGCAAAATACGGAAGAGAAAAAAAGAAAAAAAGACATAACCGGAAAGCAAGCAGACGACGGTCGATGTTAAGGAAAGACGGAAGTTCACATCAAATTAAAGATCAAGTTGAGTTCTGGTCATGCAATTTGGAAAGGTTCATCACGTAGGCACAATAGTATTGGTGTATACAGTGAGGTTTTGGAATCATCAACCAATTAAAGATATGAAATTGGCCAAGTCTGGCAAAAAGTCAATTGCACTGTACACACAATCGTGTATATGGGACTACACAAACATGTGGCATGAAAGTTAGGTCCATGCTTTTATTTGAACAATAAAAATAATATTACATTTATAATATTTATTTTTCGAATTTGTTGGCATTTAAAGAGTCATCTTTTTTCCATGATACTCTTCCACCCTTACATTAAAAAAATCGAATGAAAAGGTTATTTTTGTTCACTCTTCCCAGGGCTCAACTCTCTCTTTAAACAGCGAAAAATGAAGGGAAAAAAAGGTAGAAGGGCAAGAATAATGAGGATTCTAGATTTAGGGCAAAGACGCAATCAGTCATTCTACAGGCTGTTACCATGGAAACAGGAAACTGCATGGATGCTGAGGGGTTGCTAATGGTTACCATACAATCACACTTTGGAATGCTGACAACAACATTCAAAACAAAATGAAAGCAGCATATTGGACATAATGAATGAAGGATTTCCAACTCCCGAATCATCGAATTCGATTGAAAATGCGCTGAAAAGAGTAAAAAATAAGAAGTCGAACGACGATCCGCTTTCGAACAAAAAAGAGAAACCGTACTTAACCTCGTTACGTATACACATACATGTACATATAAATAACATGTCAATTTACGTATACACATTACTTACAGTCAGTGCACGACGTTTTGACTTTACATAAGCTATACATCACACAACTTTACCCCGTGAATATCGGCACAAACGTGGTTGCTATATTCAAATAGTGAACGCATCACGTACAGCGGGAAGCGACAAGGAGCGTTTACTTTCAAGACATATTATAATAATGTCATCTAAAATATGATCTACTTATTATAAATACAAAGGAGTCGCAGCGAATAGCATGGCTAAACGTTTTTCTTGAAAGAAAGATGAAAATACAAACGAACACACCACACCGTTTCCCGAGTGTATTTTTTTAAAGAGGACGCCAGCGCCAAACGTTTCCGATTTACACTTTAAAAAGAAATAAATAAATGACTGATAATAACATTAATGGTAATAAAACACTAACATATCTACTAATGACTGTTGCACACGAGGTGTCATTTTGCTGACGTAGGGTTGCGTCGGTGAATGGCGCAGTCTATGACGCGACGTGTTAGAGTGACGTCACATTAAAAGTGAATGCAAAATGAAGAGTGCAAATCTGCCGTGAAATGCTGGCGCATGCGCTAGTGGCTTCAGATGCTTAATTAGCGCAGGTAATGACGTACTTGAAAATGACGCAATCGAAATGACGCAATATAATTGACGCAATAGAAAAGACGCAATTGAAATGGCGCCTCCTATATGCGACGGGTACAACGTTCAAAACATCTATAAACGTCGACACACCTGCATACTTAACAAACCCTATTGTACGTGTGCAGAGACAGAACAAAATTAGATATCATTTTTCCTTTAAAATGCACAAAAAAGTATTCATAAAACGTTACACAAAATAGTTACCATTTCAAGACGGAAGCGTATGATATGTATCAAACCTTGAATCAACTTCAAGTCATAAAATAATTGTCTCGTATAGTGCGATAAAAATAGAACATAATTCATAAACATCACATATATAAAAAGTGTTCAATGATTCGGCAATTAAACAGAAGAAAAAAGTCTACACCGAGCCTACGCCCATCCCAAACATTTTGAAAGATTTCAGCTCGCTGTTCTATATTTAACAATATAATTTATAAGTCACCCAAAATCGAGTGGTTTACTTCAGAACTAATTATTTCTAATCTTTTTCTAAACATCATTATGTTCTCAAGACTCTAGTCTGCCCACTCGGACCCTGTTCAATTTTCGTAGTGATCAGCCATTTTGAGTTACGTTTTCAAAAGACGAAGAAAAACATTAGAATGAAAGGCATAAATACCATACATAATTTACATAACACCATATTAAGTTAGAGTAAAACGAAGCGTTGACAGACAGTCTTTGGCATGGAAAGCCATATTTGAACAAAACAACTTAGATGGCTAGATAAAACAAAGCGCATAAGTTAACAAAGGAAAGGAAAGAAGCAGAAATAGTGTCAGTGGAATATAGACAATCGGAAATTAAGAGACAGAGATAGAAGAGGGAGAAAAGGAGGAAATATTAAACATGAAAAGGCCATTTTGAAGTCAAGATAAAGCAGTAAAAGACGCTGCCAAGTTACGATTTTCAGAACATTTTAAAACGCCGTAAAAAATGAAATCGGTACTGCTCGCTACTTTTCCAGCATTGAACCTAACACATCGACACACTATTCGACCCGGCTACAACAATATCTGGGAAATTAAAAAAAGTGGTGCTCATGATCGGATATTTTAATATGTTTTATTTTGGATGTCATTAAGAAATTTCAAATTAGTGACGCAAACGTAATGGTCATCCATTTATTTTGGACAATTGGGTTTCGGAAACTGCCATTTCGGGCTGTCTGAAATTCATCATGCGTGACTTCTTGATCACGTGTTTGGTGTCGTGTGGAAGAAGAGAACGGAGGTGTCTTATGATATATACACTAACCAAGGAATAATTGGAAATTATTGAGCTATGGACCGGTAATCTTGGATTTTCTTTCATCAGGAACACCGGGTATAGTGTGCGGTTACGTGATAAATAAAAAGCAAATAAACAAACAAAACAAAATATGGACTACACTACTAGTTTACAATTAGAGATTTTGAAACGAACATCTGTCCTCCGTATATCACATGGGAAACGTTCACTTCTGTACGAAGGTCGATTAAACACTATGACGAGGGAGAGATTGGGGACATGATTGCCTACTCCCTTTGCAAATTTTGAACAAAAAAGACGCAGAAACATCACAATATGCTACTAATTTAAAGGGAAGATACCGAGTATAAAGCACTCTCTGCTGGACACAAATTTAAATACGCATAACTGCCTGTCTACAAATATATAAGGCATAACTATACACGCTCTTATAATTATTATTGGGAAGCGGTTGCGGGTTTCTCAACATCAGTTTCACTTTTGTCAGGTTCAGTGATGCTCGTGCTGCTGCTGATGCTGCTGCTAATGCTGCTAGTGCTGGTGCTGCTACTGCTGGTGGTGGCGATACTAGGTGCACTACTGGAGCTTCGCATATTGGGTACTGGGCGCAGTGGTTCCGTTTTCGCTATGATGGATTCTATACTTAAGACGCGTTCCTTCGGCCGCTTCTCCGGCTCCTGTAATGATTTGCTACTGTCCTTTGTGCCATGGTTGGTTTCAAAGTAGTAGTCTCTGAAACGACGCAAGGAATCCTTCTCCTTGATTTTGGGTGGTTGCATCGTAGAGGGCTCGTGTTCAGTCTGTGTCTCCATCGGGCTCGGGAACTGGAAAAATGTCCCCATCTGTCGTTGAGTTGGGGTACAAGGCAAGGAGCGCGAGGAAGGGCTGGAGTCAAAGAAGATCTTGGGAGATTTGGTGTCGTTGTTGTCTGCAAAAGAAGGCGTGCGTGCGCTTTCGCGGTTCCATTTGCGTTTGAAGCGGAGTTTGATTGGAACTGAATCTAGATTGCAGTTCGAGTTATTATCGTCGGTATCTAGGAGATCCTCCTCAGAGCGGCTCTCGTTACTGGTGTGGACAATGACCCTACGAGGGGGACCCGGACTTCCCCTGAACCCAGGTCCAAAGCGTCGAGCGTCCAGCCTGTCGTTGATAGGCGGAGCGCTGCTGGGCGGCTTGATATCAAAGAGGAGTTGTTTGGAGTCAACTTTGAGAGGCGGCGGGGGTGTCTTCCGACGCGGCTTCTCGCGTTCGCACCGCTCTTCCGGTGGGCTAGTAATCGTACACGGCGCTGGTTCGGGTGTTTTCCGAACGTTTATAGAGTTGGTGACGTTTCTGTCATCTATGGTGATAGCTGGTGGGATGCGACGCTCGCTAGCCTGTTTCTTCTCAGTCATTCTACGCAAGTATAGTTCGGACTGCAACGGTCTCTCTGGGATTCGTATCGACTGTTCCTTTTCGGGGGACTTCTGTAATCTCTGAGTCTCTAACCTTTGTTCCAGCTCTTGCCGCTGCAACTCTTGTCGTTGCTGCTCTTGCCGTACCTGCTCTTGTCGTTTCAGCTCCTGCCGATTCAGCTCTTGCCGATTATGTTCTTGCCGTTTCTGTTCCTCATGTCGCTTCTGTTCTTCCTGTCGCTTCTGTTCCTCCTGTCGCTGCAGCTTCTCGGCCGCGGTCAGCTCCAGATTCCTGATGCGCATCTCGTTCTCGGTATGCGTGCGCCAAAGCGTCCCCGGCGATGCAGGCACAGAAAGAGGGAAGGCCCGAGCATGGGCGTCAGCCACACGGAGCTGGGCGACGCGCTCGTGCTCTAACCGGGCCAGCGCTGCCTGGGTTTGGGCCTCCTGGTGAGCGCGTTGTATCTCTGCCGGCGTGTAGGTAAACCTCGGTGGACCATGCGGGTGACCGGGTGCCGATAGGAGCGGGCTCATGGTTGACGATGGGCTGGGTAGCGGTGATAAATAGCAAGGACTGGCCGGTAGAGAGTGGGAGAAGATGGATGCTGGCCGCATCATCTGAAAGGGCGAAATAAACAAAAGATAATAATAATAATAATCTTTTAAAGTCCTCTCCAAATGTTATTAAGTTAAACCGAAAATGGAAATTCTTTTTGCCCAATTGATCGTGAGCCCGGCAGCTACTGAGCAGCGCCAGATCGACGTTGCTCTATCCTTTATTGTTGAACGCCAAACAAGGTAGCAAGATGTGATACCAACTGTTGTACAACTCATCAATCAAACATTATTGTAGTGGGAAAAGCCCTAATGAAATAATCCAGAATTTCAATAATACGAAAGGACTTTCTAATTTAATTTCGGTAAAGGGTGGTATGACTTATAGAATAATCTAATGCAAGAGTATTTCACAAAGTTGTCTCTTTAGATATGTTCTTTTCAATGAGACATAGCCAAACGATTCCTGATATGGACTCTAGGACATAAGGACAATGAGACTATTTGATGTTTGCTCATTTAAGTAGGCTACACTTACGGATTGGCAAGTCCCTGTGGCCCAAATTCACAAACCTCGGTTTGTCGACAAACCTCGGTTTATGTACGTCATATGACGCGTTTTGACGCGTTTTTTACAAACCTGGTTTGAAAAACGCGTCGAAACTCGTCATATGACGTACGAAAACCAATGTTTGTCCTTTGTGAATTCGGGCCTATGTGGTTGGGTATAAAAGAGGGTTCCTCCCGATCCTTACTAAAGACAGAATGAATGGAAATGCGATAGGACAGGAATATGATTGCATTTACCTGGAAGGCAGGTCCACTGTAGTTATGTCGTAGATTAGGGCTCATCAGACCGGCTAGTCTCTGCTGATGTTCGCTGAAACCCGGCGGCAAGGCATGATGTGTAGGCGTAGGAGGGTGCACGGTCATGGTCGACGTCGGATCCGTATCCCCGAGGCTATGGGAGCGGTGCCGGCGGCTGCCTTGCTTCTCGTCGCCGTCCAGTGACTCGCCCGAGTCGCTGCACGATCCGCCTTCCTTCGTCAGATGCGAAGGTGTGCTCGGCTCTTCGTCCATGTTCGGGTCTTCCGAGGAGGAGCCGATTCCACCCCGAGATTGCGGGATGAACGGAGGCACATATTTGAGGTCGGTTCCCGGGTAGTTCACTAGAATCAGCTTGCTGAAGTTGAATTTGTAGGTGAAGCGCTTGCCCTTGGTTTTGTTCAAGATCCGCTTGTTATAGTAATATCTGAAACAGGCAAATTTAGAACAAACATTATGGATTGAAATCATTGCAATAACATCAACCGAATAATAATCATACAATAAGCGAGTACATGGACAGAATATTTTTAATTTGACAGCATTATCATGGCATAAATATTTATTAATGATTTAGTTTGACGGCCATGAATCCTTTTTGTTTTGCTTCATCTTGGGACACAACATTATGTCTCAAATAAATTCCAAAAAGCCCCTTAAACCTACGACCGGACATCATGGGATTCCCAATTAATGCGTGAGCCATCCATTCCTCAGGAGGCAAAAACGAAAAGAAAAACATGTTGGGAAATTTTCCGAAACCGGAATAACTCAGATGAGACGAGACCTAGCAGAGATAACTGTGATCAGTTTATTTCGGGAGAAGATTCGCCACCGGGATAGAATTGGTAGAATGTATGATTACCCCTGAGAAACCACTTCCTACAATCAGATTTATAATTCTTCTGAGACCCGTTTCACAAAGCCTTTTTCAATGACAAACGACACAAATCAGTGACAAATCTGCTGATAACCAATCAGAAGCAAGGATTTAAGTAGCTTATAACAAAAACTGTCATTTGTCACTGATGACAAGTTCTGTGAAACGCCCACTGGTACTCACCTCAGAGCGCGGCTGAGTTTATCGTAGTTCATGTGGGGCTTGCACTTCCGCATGCCCCAGTGCCGGGCAAGCTCGTCCGGGTCCTTGATGAGGAACTCGCCGTAGTCGCCCTGCCAGGCGATCACGTCACGGTACTCCTCCTTCTGCAGGAGCTCGAGGATGAAGTGCCAGAGCTGGATCTGACGGCTGCCGGGACTCGACTCTGGTTTGTAGGCCCAGTCTGGGTAAGCAACACCACCTCGAATGAGGCGAGGGATAGCAAGAGTTAGCAAAGGAAAAAACCACGTAAGCACCTCTTGAGCTCTGTGTAACATTAGTACTGCATAACCAGAAATTTTCGTGCATGAATTAGCGAGTTTCGCTAGTGGTGATATTGAATCGAAATCGATGATACATTTTATTTTCAAATCGCAGTGGTCTCTTGCTGCGAAAATTGCCGCCCAGCAGAATTTGTGAACGTTTCATGCTAAAGATTTCTGGTTAAACAATATCATTTTCTGAGCTCGGTAAATACCTCGGAATAGGTCAGCACAAGTTGCCGATCAGCCATGCACAAAGAAGACGAAAGACCTGATGCCTGGCTGATCTTCAACGCAAAGGAGTTAAGTCTTTTGTCAACTCTGTTTGTTGCTACGGCAGGTAGCCAGTGAAAACGAACTCGTTTGATCAAATTATGGAAATGCAAGCATTTTTTAAACAAACAGAACTTTGTTATTCCTAGCTCATTTTTCCTGATTGAGGTGTAATATGAAAGATCAGAAATTGAACTCTCTAGGAATGTGATTTTCTCCTTGAAATTCAGATACCGCCCGCCAAATGACTTTTCGGTTTTCTCTCTTCAAATTGCTTTTAATCACTCATGCGTGAAAAATGCATATGAGTTGCATCAAATGAAAGAGGAGTATCTAAGCTTTCCAAATATGTGTAATTTATTAATTATAATTGTGATTAAGTTATGATAAAACATCGATAGTTCTCGGTTTCGTTTTTTCTCGGACGCACTGTATTGCAAAACGTCCTTGGCATGATAAAATCTAGCCGAAAGACTTGTAGAGGAAAAGAACTGAAAGAACCGAAAAGAGCTTAAACGTTGTTATGAAGTCGATCGGGTTCTTTCTATCAAACGCAATGAATTTGTTGCATTACTTGATAAATGAAGACATGTGCAACAGATGTAACAATGTTTTTTTTACCGTTAAGTCACAACATGTAATTTGTTTAAATCTATTGTTTTGTTCTTGCTCAAGAATGATTGAATAAAAATTTTCTTTGGAAAAAAGAAGAAGAAAAGAACTGGTGCTTACTCGAGTTCCATAACGGGACGGTTGGGCTCGCCAGGGGTCCTTGACCAGGCGGGACCGGACCAGTCGAGTGGTGTGATGGCGAAGGCGGTATTTGAGTCGGTGGCCCCATGGGCTGTTCCATCCTACGGTACTGCAGGAGGAGCTCCGCCGATGGGAGTGGGGGCTGCAGGGACAAGGGCAGCCCGGGGACAATGCTGGTAACAGCAGCGGTGCAGGCAGGTGAGACCCCGATGTTGGGGGTGCTGCTTAGCGTGGTGGTGGCGGGTGGCGGACAAGGCATCAATTACAAGTGCGTTTTAGTGGCGTAGAAAAATAAGCCGATCTGATGGAGATAAACATAAAGAGATAAATAGGGAACATTGTTAAAAGAGTATGTTAAGACCGAAGGGGCGTGTGACATTCCCCTATACCCGTATCAAAAATTGGATGTAGGCTTAAACTCAAAACATGAGAATATTTTGTAAACATTGTTATGACCATAGATGAAGGACGTACCCCCCCCCCCCCCCCCCCAACAAAAAAATAAAAAATAAAAATAAAAAATAAAAATACAATTATGAAAAAAAATAATAAAGATAAATAAATTACAAAAACTATGCCTATATAAATAGATGAATTAAATATTATATTTATATATATTAAGTGATAATAACAAACAAATACATACATTTAAGAACAGTAGCAACAACTATCATCATAAATGAATATGCTAACAGATACTGAAAATGCCGTTAATCGATTGATATGAATACCAAGAATCCAGCGGCTTTCGATAAATCACCTAAAGGAAAATTTCAATATCCGATTGGTAACCGCATACAAATCATATATTCAGATTATACAGTATCTCATTGTAATGTTCCCATATTTCGAATGCTAACTAAGTAAAATGGTCAACACAAGATCGGTGATAACTACCGGGTTTGTCGAAGACGCCTTGGTATAAGATGGAATCATAATTTATTCATCATTGTAAAATATGAAATTGGAGAGAGATCAAACGAATGTGAGAATAAGAGAAAGGTTGAAAGAGGAGAGACTTTATTTTTTCCGACCTCAAAAAAAGAAAAAGAGCGATTGTATTATTGGCTCTGAACTGAGCTATCCAGTCGTCCTTTATAACTCTTGACTTCACTTGTGTATTAATTAAATTTAAATTTTGTTTACAATTATATTGTTTGCGTATGCATTTCATTTTCATACAAAAAACAAATTACCGAACCAAACCGAGAGAGATGGAGAGAGAGAGACGAGAGAGAGAGACGAGAGAGAGAGAGAAGAGAGAGGAGAGAAACATAAGAGAGAGAGAGAGAGAGAGAGAGAGAGAGATGGAGACAGAAGAGAACGAGAGAAAAAAGATAGAAGAGAAGACGAGAGAGAAGAGAGAGGAAACCTGGATTTTATTTTATTATAAACCTTCTTTTACTCTGAACAATATAATGAGGAAAATAAAAGCAAGAGTGAATAAAAAAGAAGAACGTGATACCAAAACTCGGTCATGAAAAACGTCAGAACATCTTCAATCAACGGAGGAAAAAAAAAAGCCACAATTACATCGGAAACAGGAATAGGGGGGGGGGGGGTGACACAATGGAAATTACGACTAATAAATTCAAGCACCGTGCCCTTGATCATGTCTCTTTAAACTCAAACAGTTTTAAAAATACACTCCAATATCAACGAAGAAGATAAACGCTAAATCGAGCACCGTGAAAAGAAATAGAAGCAAAAATAAGCCGTCAGCCCTTTCTCTCTCTCTCTCTCTCTCTCTCTCTTCAGTCTCATTTTCTGTTTTCTTTTTTCCTCACGTCCGCTTAGTTGTATGACTGATCTAGTTCGCGCGGTTGTTGATTTTTTTTTAAGTCCTCCGTTTGGAATTAGAAAGGACGTAAATATATCTGCGACATTTGCCATACCTTTCTTTATCCCACGTCTTTAGAGGAGAGCTATTTTGGACCACAATCCAGCGGACTTATAAAGCCAATGGTTCCTGTTTCTGGGATTAAGAGGAAAGCGGCAGTTACCATGGCAACGCGCGAACACTAAATATAGTAATTGGCAAGAAAGGGGGAGAGAGGAAAAAATAGGCGAACGATCGCTGAATAACCCGACTGATGTTATTCGCGGTTCGGATATGCTCACGGCTGTTTCTATTTCGAAACCTTGTTTATTCACAACGATAAAAAGGGGCTCCCTTTCCGCATTAGTCGCACGAGACAGGCGTCACGCCGCATGCATCTCAACAACGACGCCTCATTACACAGTCATCAGAGCGAGTTAAGGAGCGACGCACGTCTCCGCAGCCTGTTCACCGAGACTAAATGTGATCGCGAGTGTGACGTCCGTCTTATTTGCATACATGATAAAATACCCCGAACGCACGGTTGTGCGGCAGAGAAGTACGTACGTAGATGATCTAATTTTAGCGCCCGGCAGATATAGAAGAGAGAAGTTAAAAGTGTATCCCAATGAATAAAGATGAGGGTGAATCCGAAAGGTCTCTGTATCTATCTATATTGGAATCATATAGAGGGAAAACCCTTTGAATTATCGTTTGAGATGCTTTTAACCGCTTACAAATCTTGTCAGAGTGGATACAATCAAAACATCCTTTACTGCGGATGTTTTCAATCCATGGAGGGATTTAAAGGCGCTTCTCCCCCTTTGCAGTGCACGGAGAAACAATGTCATTCTCGTTTACGTTCACCTTTCCTTTATTATTATGATGACAGAACCCACAAATCTCATATCCGTGTTTCTAGAATTAAATGCATTGAATGCACTAAAAAGAAAATCTTATTACGAAAGGTTATAGGAAATATTTGAAATGAAATAAATGACAGAAACAATGAATATTCCAAATCCATTGTCAATATCACGTAATTATTAATTACGAGAGATAATGATGATACAGTATTAGAAGTCATATTGTGTTCATATAGTTATAAATATATTGACATGTATAAACATTATATACAGTCTGTAATATGACGTCAGATAACTCAGAATTCCGGTTTTTTGAGAAATTTTCTGTCAACAATAGTCGTTTAAACCTTAAATTAGAAAGCAATTCGGCGAACAAATTGCATTAAAATCTGCTTTCTCTTTTTAGGCTAGTATTTGATATACCTAAGATAAAAGTATTTTATGAAAGTCATACCTATATTATTTTGTACTAGTTCGTTTTGTATACGTGAATCACAGCAAACTAATGTTATTTACCATCAAATGTTAATGTTTACATTTTCCAAGTCTACATTCAAAAATAATATTCAAAAAATACATTTGCGAAATGAAAATCAATTAATGGAAATAAGATCTTGTGAAAAAACACGAATTTAAAAAGAAACTGGAAATATATTCGAATTCTCATATAATTATGTATATTGGTATCTTCCGCGATATTGGTGTTTGTTATTTCATTTTTTTAACTTATTTGTTATGTGTTGTCAAACCAAATGATAACTGAATAAGAAAGCGGTTAACTTTCTCTGGAATAGACAAAATCACGATATTTTCAATTAAACTTAATTGAAACCATCAATAAAGGAAAACAAATATAATGATTCATTTACGCTAGCTTCCTATTCACCATTATAGTAGTTCTGAAGATCTAAATCAATCAGCATTTCATCCTCAAAACGGCAACAGTTATCTATATTTTCAATCTTTCAAAATGAAAATGTTTATTTAATGCGACGGTATGAATGGAAGCTTCAAATCATTACGAATGAACAAGGAATTTTAAATTTGAATACGAAAATTGTGACTATAAATTTTAGTCTGCATTGCCTATTTAGAGACTCCACAGATTATTTTCTATTGAATCGCTCTTATTCACGAACGGCACAGTGTACTGCAATATTAATCTCCTAAAATATTCCAGTGATTATTACACTCTCTCCTGATGTATAATTTGTAATGGAAATTATTTTAAATACAAAAATAATTTTAAAAATTGTCACTAAAAGGTGACTCTAAACTGGAATGGGAGTACCACCCATGATACGTGCGCAAAGCGATTCACACAGCAATAAGGTCAAGTGCGTTGATTCTTAATATAAACATTGATACTACAATATACATGTTAAGAACGTTGTGATAGTGAAAGGTTTTCTTTGTCTCAACGGCACGAATATGGAATCTAAATGTAAGGAATATATATAATTGTCGTAAAATGGTCATAGTATTCGCACGTCACAGCACGCGACAGACGTCAGCATTCACGCCAAGGTCATATAATGTTTTTTCCCCCTCTTTTCTTTCTTTCTTTTTCATTTTTGTGCGTTATCGAATTATGAAGCTACAAGTTGATTCCTACGTTTAATTCCCCCATGTCTAGAATCTTGATTATGTATCCCCCATCTCTCTCTCTCTCTCTCTCTCTCTCCCTCTCTCTTGCACTTTCTCTCTTTTAGCATCATCATACGACTGTTCGTCCTTTGCTATGTTTGTCATTAACCATGATTTCCTAACAATTATTACGACACCATCTTCTTTCTCCTCTTGTTTTCTTCCAACGTCATCCCAATTATCTTCATCAATTATCATTTTAAGCAACATTACTTTCTACACCATACCATCTGTCCTATTTTTGTCCCTTTCCTTCTTTCTTTCTCTCTCCCTATCTCTCTTTCTCCATCTCTTACGTTTGACTTTTTGACTTTTGACATTTTCTACCATGTTGTTATCGTTCGTATTTCTGTTACGCAAGTACTTTCCAATTGACCCTCGTGTTCTCTTTGACGCCTCTCTCTCTCTCTCTCTCCCTCTCATTAGTGCAATGCGTAATACTAGTCTTATCTAGACTATTGACGTTCATCCCATTTAAAATGCCTTGAATAGCATCACTTCACCTGAGTGTTATATTTGTATACACCAATATACTTGACAAAAATACTAGTCAGTCCTGATTCGTCTCTCTCTCTCTCTCTCCCTCTCTCTCCCTCTCTCTCTCTCTCTCTCTCTCTCGCTTTTTTTCTCTCTCTCTCTCTCTCTCTCTCCCTTTTCCATATTTGTAATTACATGTATGTGCGAAAAAATGAAGGATAGAAAAAAAAGTAATACAGAGAATGAAAGGATTTTACTAGTAAATTTGAACAGCATTCATCAATTTTATTGACCGATATCGCTAGGAATTATGCATTTAGTTACTTTGTCTGGTGCTCTATATTCGCCAGACATTTACCATCTGTTCCTCAGCAAAACCGATTTATATATTCCGAGAATACCAAAGAAATCCTTCCAGAATTTACGTGTCCCCTGATTATGTATAAACCGGTAACAACTACATTACTCATACCCTTTCCAAGTTATGTAATT